TTGGCCCTCTGCTGTGAAGGCTCCCAGCAGTTTTACCTGCATTCCTGATGGCTTTGCCATGGTTTTGGGAATTCAGCTTTTCTGTTACCTAAAAACCTGATCGCCATGCTGGTTTCAAACTTCAGAATGATCTGCATAAATTCTGTATCTCTTCTCTTTTCCTGATTTTGTATTTTGATTTTCAGAAGGCCTTCCCACAAGAAAGGCTTTCTTGTAACTGAGGCTCGACTTGGTTCCTGGTGGCTACCCAGACATTTTGTTTGCATCACTTACCAATAATTACTTAATTACTATTTAACAGTAATAGCAATGTTCTGCTGCATCTCCTTTTCTCTGATACACTGAATTAAAAGACCTCATATTGTTCCAGAGCTTTCAGGCATGCTTTAAGATGATAATGTAATATTGTTAAAACTTTTGCTGATGATGATAATTTCTTAGATAAGTTCCATAAGATTATATCTTAGAAACTGGGGGTAAGTTCCAGAATACATAGCACCGCAGCCTGTCATTTCTGCAAATTCCTTTCATCATCTCTATTTGTTAAAGTATATTTTATATATGATACATAGGCTTGAATCAATAGTCTGTATTCACACTCAGAAATGTTTGCAGTCGTTCACATACTTTTCAGTCTGCATCTTCCCTGGTGTATAGGGAGTGACTTCATACTTCTTGCAAGCAGTAATGTATGTCATGACATATTTTCACAGAATAAAAGATCTGGTTGTATATAAAAAGTGCCTTAATTAAATGTTTCTTCTCAAGTGAGGTATTATGACACGATTATTTTCCCCTCTAGTATCTAACATTATCAGAAATACCCAATTTGTTCTTGCATCTAAAATGCTGTACTGGAGAGACTACCAGCAGAGAAATAGTGACACAAAAGAAAGATGGTAAAAGTGAATTGCATTTCCTGCCAACTCTGACAGCCATTTTTGGGCCTTCTCATCTCTTTGAAGAGCTATCAAAAGCTGAAGATGGTAATTAAAATAAATTTTGGTTGAGTAGCTTTCACACGTCCTATAAGTTCTGCAATTTTCTCAGAAAACTAAAGGAAAGGTAAAGCAAAGATTCATCCCCTTTAGTTCCATGACTAATACCCAGAGAGAAGCCTTCCCTCTGAGCTTCATTTCCAGTCAGTAGGAAGAGCTGTAGGATGGATTTGGCTAAGGGAAGGAGAATGCAGTTTCACTTCAGATATGCTTCATTGTTTTGCAAAGGACCAGCTGGGATACTTGGATCTGAACCCTTCAGTCCTACCGTAACAGGAGGTTAGCCAGAGTCAACATTGCATCTTCAGACCTTCTATGTTTTAACCAGCTACTGCGTAACACTGATGCGTCACTAGGTTCTTCAGAAAAAGGACCAGCAGTGTTTTCTAAGAACGCTAAGTGGTCTGCGTCTTAACAGTGATCTGCCATCGCATTTGCATGCACATATTTCTTCCTTAAATACCTGTAGCCTCATCTCCATTGCTCATCGTCTCAGGATTGTGCATACAATAATACATTTGGGTCATCATTCCTTATACAGAAGCCATTTGTGCAAAAATGAGTTGGAGGTCTCTCCTGCAAGGTTCTCCTTCAGAGGATCCCCATACTGCAATCACCAATTGTGTCAGTTGTTTCCTGTACATTATACAGTACTTCATTATTGCCACAGGGGGTACTGTTGGCTTAATTTTGTGTTTGAGTCACTGCTGCTGAAATTATTAAGTTAATGATTTATGCTCCTATGATACAACAATCTCTAGTGTTTAAATTGGTTACTATGTTTTGTTTACTGTTTATAACTACCAGAGTTGTTTTAGTGGCATTTTGAACTACTTGCCAGCTTGTATGGTTTATTTCTCCCTGCAGATTTTTACAAACCACTGATTGATATTGGGAAAAAAAAACCCCGTAGTGATTTATGCTTGAAAAAAATCCCAGGAGCTATGAATTAACCACTGTTTTGCTACATAAGAAGAAATAACACTCTTGTGACACTGAACAATGGATGTCAAAACTTATTCTAGCACTTGCTTCTGTTTTTATCATAGTGGAAAATTTGAGGGTCTTTTTCTTTCTTTTTCTATGAATACTGTGACTGCATCAGTTTTGGACTATGAGCTCACTAGTTTTTCCCCAGAGTTCTTCCTCATCATGCCATGTTAAGTACTTGATTCACTCAAAAAGTTTAATGTTTGCAAAAGTGGAAAAAATGTACCGGTATTCATTGCTTGACAGAAGGTTAGCTCATTTTAGTTCCCAGTGCACAAAGGAAATTTGTGAGGCTGATCTACATCTTCAAGAAAGTCATCCAGCAACAATGCAGAGCAGATTCTGTAGTTTTCTGTAGATTTGAAGAAGCAATACTCTTACTCTGTTTCACTGGAAAAGCACAGAGCAGTAAGAACAAAGCATATAGGGTGAGATGAGAACTCTCAAACGTGTTAGGTTGGTTACAGTATAACCAGTTGCTCTCCTTTCACTCTACGGGGTGAAATTACAGCCACATTAAAGCATAACAGTCTGCTTCTGAGATCACAACTTAGACCTCCTTTTCAGCAATACTGTTGCCCATTTTGTGTTTGTCTCCTTTTATGTATCCCATGAGCATCAAAGCAATGTATCTTTAACCAGTTTCTTACTAGGGAGTTTGTGATCAAAACTAGGGATGCAAGTGAAATCGCTTTATGACAATATGTAAAACATACATGAGAACCCCCACAGTTTCTAATAGACCCACAGGTCTATTCCACAGACCAGCTCCATCTCCATAGATACACAGACTACGAATCACATCTGAACTGCTTCTCATTAAGCTGAGAGGTCAGGAGCACATGCTGCTGGTCCACCCCTCACCTTCAGTGGTTCAGCCACTGGCCTAGTTCCCAGCAACTTGATGCTGTTCAGATGGCCAAAAGTTAATGCTCTTGATTAGGTGATGTTATAGGAGCCACCCCAGCAGCAGTGCACTACCAGAACCCTCCTATTCCCCAAGACATGGGCTGGAGTTTTCCCACTGGTGACATATCCTAAATCTAACAGTTATCATCAGATCAGATGAAAAGACTGTTGCAGTGGGGAGCACAGAACCTGATGGTTTCAAGTGGAGGTGAGGTGCTGGCAATGCAGAAAATCAGGCACAAGTATTTTAAGAAAAGAAATTACAGGCTATTACTGACATACTGCTATTTGATGTGGAACCAAGGAATTTTAGCTAACGGGGCTCCATTTTTTTTTTTTTAATCTCAGGTTTCCAAAACTAAGGAGTGGCACAGATACAGTGCACAGCAGTGATGGGTTTGGGGTCCATTTGGCTTACTACACCAAGTAATGCATCTACCCACTGATCTGCACATATGCTTGCCTGGAGCAACTGGACATCTGGCAGCCAGAGAGCTACCTTTCCTCTGTGCTGACTTATCCAGACAAATGGTGAAAATTATCTTTTACTACTCAGAGAACATTTCCAGGCAGAAAAAGAGGATATATTCTGGGAAACTCCAACCATGTAGTAACCCCGGCAAGTGACATTACTTGATAAGCGTGGCTTTTCACAAGTTTGTGCTATAGTCTCATTAAGTGACAGCATGCAAGTGAACATGAAGTCCTAAAATCCACAAGAGAAAAGCCTTGAGATCTACTCTCAATTAATGTAGGATCAAGTTAAGTTTTAGGTATGTTTTCACATGCTTACTGCGATTGTTCGCTGTATCCAATCCATCCTTGTCAACAAATACTGCCAAGAGATCAAAGGCATATCACAAGCTGTGGGAAGATCTCTCTGATACAAAGAAAACCTGCAGTGTATGGAAGAGAACATGAGTACGGGAGGGAGTTTGGAAAGAGCAGAGGTAGAGTTAGCTGTCCATAAGATACCTTTAAGAAAATGCACCCAATATGAATATATGAATACTCTTCCTGGTGAGAACTCTGAGATGATACAGGGATGCACGTACAGAATACTCCAGATCTGCATTGACTGTTGGCCCCTGCTGCAAGACCTGCAGACTACAAGCCTGAGACTTCACACACTCTCAGCTGTCATGGATTCCACAAATACGGCTGCTTTTGTGGCACTGCATCCAGTGACAGATATCCATGAGAGCTGCTGCCCAGCATCTCCTTAGTGAATGCAGCAGGGAGCAGAAGCAGCTGGTAGAAGAAATTACACGTAATCATTCTCACTTCAGCAGGTATCTTTTTAGGCTAAATAAACACCTAGCCAGAGATGAGCTACTCTTTACAAGTAATTTCAGAGCCATTCCTTGTGAATTGTTCCAGACCTGGAATGCTTACTTGGGGTATTTCCCATAATAAAGCCTTGAGAAGTCATTCTTCAAGGAAGTGTATCAGTAGTGTATCAAGGAGGCCCAACATGCAAAGAAGGTCATGTAGAAAATATGTGAGAAGCCACTAGCAGAATTAGCCAGCAACTGTATTCCATATGTCTTGAAGAAATTGCTTTTTCCTCACAAATTATAAAATAACATTGATCTGTGTGGTCTGCAAAAGGTGTGTGAAAAGTCTGCTTGGCCCTCAGCAAGGAAAAGGCTCGTATCCTCTGATTTAGATGACTCAGAAGATTCACTAGGTAGAAATTAACTCACGTAGGAAAATATCCACTGCAAGAAAAACATGAAAAAAAATCTTTTTTTTTGTATCAGCACAACTTCTTCCATAACACGGCAGGACACTGCAAACATGGGAAAATAAAGGGAGGTGATAGAACCAAACTATGACCAATCTGGAAACAACTCCTGCATCCACAAGACACACAAATAAATACATCTGAATGGCTTTCAGAAGGCTTAGTGAAAGATTTCAAACAGAGCAAGTAGAAAAGGAGACAAACTTTTTCTTCTTGTTTTCATTTTTTGCGTTTAAGTGTCACTGACAGAAAAGTTGAAAGGACTATTTCTCAGAATCCATTGCTGTAGTGGTAAGATGATATTTGCTGAAGCACTGCACAGCAAAACAGCAAACTTAAGAGAAACTATAGGCTCCTCAAAGTCACTGCAGTGCTACTAAAAAAAAAAAAAAAGAAAATAACGTTCAGAAATTGACTGTAATTTTTCAGTGTGATTTAATGTATTACTGCTGATCAGCCAGAAGATAACTGTATAAGCATAGGATCAAAGAATGGTTTGAGTGGAAAGGGACCTTTAAATGTTATCTAATCCAGCTACCCTGCAATAAACTTCTACAGCTACATCAAATTACTTAGAGCCTGTCCTTAGCATAGCTTCCAGGAGGATCTGCTCCACAATCTTTTCTGGCACACAGGTGAAGCCAGGTCATCCTTTATATCCTTCTTAAAAATGGATGAGACATTTCCTTTTTTCCAGTCACCAGAGACTTCATCTGGCTGCCAGGATTTCCCAAATACCACTGAGAGTGTCTTGGTGACTACAGTAGCTGTTTCCCTCAGGACTCTAGGACACATTTTGTCAGGATCTATAGACTCCTGGATGTTCAGCTTCCTCATACAGTTGTGAGCCTGATCTTCACATACACTAGGAGGGACATGCTCCTACAGCCCTCAATTTCTGAACATCCTCTCAATGGAATGCATGAAGAGCAGAGGCAAAGGAGTTGAATACCTCAGCCTTTTCCTTGTTACCAGCCTGTCTGTATTGCTCACTAGGCAGAGGGGGGGAAACACCTTGAACTTTACTCTTCTGGTTGACATACCTGTAGAAGCCTTTCCTGTTCTTCTTTGCACCCTTATCAAGTCTAGTTTCAGCTGGGCCTTGGCCTTTCTGACTCTATACCTACTCAGCTTAGTAGCATTCATACACTCCTCCCAGGTTACCTGTCCCCGTGTCCACTGCTGTGCATTTTCTTCTTGCTCTCCAGTTTGGCAAGCAGGTTCTGGTTCAGCCATGTCAGTCTTCTTGCCTTCCTTTCCTGACTTCCTACACCTGGCGATGGAGACCTGTTGTGCCCTGAGGAAAGCTTCCTTAAGCCATCTGCACTCTACTCCCTTGTCCTTATTTCCCAGGGAGTTCTGTTGACCCTGAAAAGCTGGAGTTTGGCTTTTCTAAAAGCTAGCACCCTAATTTTACTCTTTAACTGTCCCATATCCCTTGGGAGTGTGAGCTTCATCACAGCATGAGCACTACAGCACAGACAACTTCCAATGACATCACTAACCAACTCACTTGCATTGATAAGCAACAGGTATTGCATCCTTCCTGGTGGGGCTGTCTATTGTTTGGCTTAATAAGTTATTCTTGATGCCTTCCAGGAACCTCCTGGATTGCCTACAGCTCATCGTGCTGTTTTTCCAGCAGGTTAAGCATTTCTCTGTTTTTACAGTAAAAAATTGCCTAGAAATATGGCAACATAAAACCACTTTTTAAAAATATATGGTTCAAGCACACTTTGGATAATAAACAATGGCACCATGAAGAGGTTATCCAAGTGGGAAGTACAGACTTGTAGAGGGGCAGCTGTCCTTAACTTAGTGCTACTGCAAATCCCTGGCTCCATTCTGAGAGTAAAGAAGGCATCTTGGTGTGGCTGTTATTTTCACAGAGCTGAAGTAGCTTCTGGAAGGTGAGCTACTTTGCCTCAGGAAGGACCCATCATAGCTCTGCTCCTGGCCAGTAGAGGGCAATGGTGCATATAGCCAAGACAGCAAATCAAAAGTAGGCATCCTACATCCATCAGAGATTCAAAAATCCACTTCTTCCTCTTCATCAAGGATTTTCCTTTCATCACCTGAAAAAGGGCCACAGAAACACTTAAGGCAAAGATTTTCCCCAGCACAAAGGAGAGTGAGAAAAGCAACTAAGAGATGGGAAAGAGATGATTGTATGTATTAGTAAAGAGGGATACCTGTCGTATTGCAATCCTGTTATGAATTATCTTCTTTTCTCCAAAGGACTATTCATCAAGAAGAGTCAACTATCCAGGATCCTGTTCTGATGATACTCAAATAACATCTCATCTGGAGGAATTTTAATTGTATTTATCTTGTGACCTAAATCCTGTGCTATACTTTTCAGAGACATCCAGAAATAACTCAAATAGTTGTTCTGCTAGAGATGGTTCTGGGAGTCTGATTTACCAGCCTGTTTACAAAGGCTAAGCTGCCATCACAAAGCCAAAATTCATGTCAACTTCATCTTGCTTGTGAACTGGAGCTAATTGATAAATCAAAGATACCAGAAATTAAAACCAAACATGATTGCAAAGTATTGCTCATATTAATTTGCAGAGTAAGACAATAGAATAACCCTCGATCACTGTAGATTCTGGTAGGGATCTAATAAATTTATCCTAAGCTTTAATTACACTGAGTTTGGAAAACTTAGACTTTAACCATACTGCATACACAGATGTAGTTGCACATTTCAGAGCACACAGGTAATGATAGAAAAGAAGAATTGATTGAAATGTAGGTAGAGGAAGAAAGTAGCATTCTTTCGCACCTCTCTAGATTTCTAAAACCTATGAGAAGACACTTCAGTTTTAAAGATATTTCTGCTCCTTGGAAATTTGTAAAATAATCAGTTCTAAGGTGCATAGCAACATCCTTCATTTCCCAAGGAGGAAAATGAATCAGGAGTGACATAAAGGAAAGGAAGAAGGAGGAGTAGGAGAACATATTCTGTATGAATGTATTAATAAAATGAAAAAAGAGGAGAATAATTAAACCTGTAGATAGTTGCAATGCTACAGTGGGATGGAAAGTACCACAAGAATAGCAGGGTGGCAAAGTCCTTAGCTACAGAAAATGAGAACAAGCCCAAATGTAACAACCACAGATGCAGGAAAAAAAGGAAAAGAGCTACTAACTTTCAGAAGACCTCAAGTAGGCAGGGATCTCCAGGAAGATACTCTTGCCTCCCCTGCCAGCCCTTAAATGAGGTCTGGGAAGGGGTGGATCCTGACTCCACCAGGTGCAGTCACACAGGTGTCTTGTATGCACCTGAGCTCCCCTAGGTTGACCCTGCCTCCCCACCAGGTGCTCAGTCACTACTTCAAGCTGTGACTTAGCATTTCCACCACAATATTCAATGTTCCTTTGGGAGGATTTTTTGTGTGCTGCCACCAAAATATATTTTAAAAACTATTCATGGAGTGTTTGTGAAAAGCTACAGAGCTTTAGGGATGGCATAAGAGGATTTCAGAGATTTAGTCTGTATCCCTTTCTGCTGAGATTTTAAATACCTTATAGTGACAACAAGGAGAATGGTGTTGGAGCAGAGCTTCAGTTAACGAGGCAGCTGCAACATTTCACAGAAAGGTTACATTTAATTTCACTTAACATGCGTTCTTTGAGATTAAACATTAAGGGCTGGATAATATCTTCAGTGTCATGTAAGTGAAATCAGTGTGGTTGTGTGGGTGTAATCTCTCACTCTGGTGGGTGAGTGCAGGCCCTCTGAAGGCTGGATGCTGTAGGATCAGTAGGATTGCATCTGTCCAGAGTCCCTGTGGTTGTACTGGCTCCACAGGGTGCATCATGAGTTAACTGTGAGAACCGTGCATGTGCCAGATTGTTCTGTTCTCCCAGAAACATCTGAGGGGCTGCAATGAATCATGTCAGTGAATCACCATCTCTAAGAATTGGGTCTGCCTCATCTGGCTTCAGTGGTGCTTAGTTAGGCTTCGTCAGGAGACAGTGCAGAGAGGAAGGCACCCACATTGGTCTCCTTCAGGATGGAATTAATCAGGCCATGTAGGCCAGAGGGGAAATTCCAATCCTCCAAGATACAAAAAAAGACATGTAGGGAATCAAGGGCTGCTCTGAAGACAATAGCACCTATTTTATTACATTAGCCTTCAACATCAGAGGTGGATGTTGGTGGGATGGCAGTAGAAGTTGAGTCTTACCACCAATATCCCGTTACATGTTGTTGCCATGGGACAGATGGCAGCAGAGGGTCAGTCTGATATAATGGCATCTGACATGGGAGAGCATATGAAGTAAAGTTGTGCCACTGAATTTCTCTATGTATGTGGAAAAAATGGCACCCACTGACATTTATCAAGGCTTGCTGAATGTTTATGGAGACAAAACAGTGGAAGTCAGCACAGTGAAGTGATGGCTGGTGCATTTCAGCAGTGGCAAAAGTGACAGTGGGTCACCTCTGCTTGTGCAAATTTTGATGAGTGCAGCATGCACGCTCTTATTCATCAGTGGTGAAGATGCATAGCTAATGGGATGACTGTACTGAAAAGTAGAGTTTAGTAGCTGAGAATTTGCTCTAAAAAGTAGTGTTATTGTTTTCTTTGTATCTGTTATAATTTCCGGGGAAATAAAAAGGAGGCATTACTTTTGGAGCAAAAGAGCTGAGATTATACATGTTCTTCATTTTGAGTTTGTGCCTTTCTCCTTACCATCTTTCTTTAAGACCTGTAAGGCAAATGGATCTGTCAGTTGCAGCAGTGTGAATCTGACCTCATTAGAGCTTCATTAAAGAATAAAAGAAAAAAGATCAGGCTCTGAAGATGTTCCGACTATATACATCCTTTGATCTCCAAAGCTGGCTGGTCTCATAGTCTAGTAGATGTCTGTGACTCCACAATTTCTATTACTCATAAGAGATCATCTGCTTTGTGAGGCTGAGTATAAATTTGAATTCAAAGTGAGAGGAATACCTGATAATATGGGTGAATAAATACACGAGTACACACGTATGTGAGATCTCCCATCATATAGGCAGCACGTAGATGGCCATACTTTAGAAGATGGGATCAGATCCCTGTGGGTTAACACTATATTTGCAAGAATCAACCACAGCAGAAAGTGGAGTTCTTCTTTTTACAATGTTTTAAGTATTCATCATTCTTCAATAATTTCTATCATCCAGAGTTGTGCACATTTTTCCGTTATCAGTTCATGAAGGAAAATATGCCAGGAGCTAGTAGCATGGTTTTAATCTGTAAAACCACCCAAGAACTCTCATGTGTAGCTGATGCTGACCTAGATTACTTGACATCCATGAGTCAAATACACCCGAGTACAACCGCAGCAGAAATGCAAGGCCAGTTCCTCTTTCATAGCCTGTGCTATGAATCAGAAATAGTGATTTGGAAGGGAGAGCTGTGATAGCTGCATAAGAGTAGCAGAAAGCTTGGGAGGAAATATAGTCCTCTACAAAACTGAGTTCTGGGAAACCCTCATGTTCTCACACACCCATTGATTGCTTTTTATTAATATGAATTCACTTTCCGCAGCCACTATGGCGCTCCCACTTTTGTAGCGAAACAGAAGGGGAAAACAAAAGAAAAAAATTAAAAGCAAGCACTTCAGAATCTCTCAGAAAATTCTTTTTCAGCTTTGATTTTATAAAAAATATATTACTGTTTTAACATGTGGTATCCTTATTTCTCCTAAACCTGTCCTGCTGCCTACTGAATTACTGGAGTAAGGTTTTTATTCAAGCCTTAGATATCATACTAGCAAAACCTTAAAAAACCTTCTTCCTTCCTCTCCTTCTCTCAGGCGAAGTGTCAGGGACACATATTTACACTTCATCCAGTACAGCCGACCACAGAGCAAAGATTTTCAATTAACAACTTGTATATGAGATTCTCGCAAAGGAAATCATACTTTTGCTGAGCTACAGCCTGTGCTGTGTTGTGCCAAAATGTCAGCTCCCAGAATACAATGTGTTGAAGTGAAATATGAAAACACTTCTTCTGTCTTAGTTGTCTAGTCATATATACCATATGAACGTGGGAAATTAACGAAATGCATTCTAATGACGGTAGAACAGCAGCCAGTATCTTGTTCAGAGCTGGGCTAAACATTAGTTTTGTGGTATGATGGCAGGGGAACATTAATGAAGTGCGGACTTCAACTAACAAAAACACTACTCTGATTAAAAACAAACAAGAAACACTGCCTGTTACTTTACAAACAGCATAGGTAGCAAACAGATACAGAGCATTGTATTGCAGCAGTGCACGTAGAGAGGGACAAGTACTCTGTTTTAAATACACTTGTATTATGGCTGTTTATTATATATAGAATTGAGATCAAATTCAGGGTGGTGGTTTGGTTGTTTTGCCATGTTATTTTTCACCTTTCTCAATTGCATTCCAACCCAATGTTGTGTACATTTGTAGGTGAGAGAGATGGGAAGTGTTCTGCAGATCCTCTTTCAGGCTGCAGTTGGTAGTTCAGGTGACCCTGGCTTCTGCAGCAGAGCTGGAATGATGTGATCCTACCTTGGATCCAATCACCTTCTGAAAAGTCCACAGTTACTCTAGCATGTGATTCGTAGTATCTCTAGTAGGTGGAGACATGACAGAACTTGGCACTGGAGCTGGGAGCTGCCACATTGCATTCTGTATCTGTACACAATGCCCATGGAAATACCAGAAAAACAACAACAGCTCTAATTAAGCTTTTTAACAGCATTGCATTTTCCCATATCCAACCTTGGATGCTTCTATCACAAAGTCCAGTAAAAGGCATTGTTGTTTTCTTTTATCCAAAGAGAAGTGCTAAAGAAGTGCTAAAGTGCTAAAGAGGCAGAAGAGCTAGGATGGTATTTTTCCATGGTTCTTCCCACTGTACATGGTGGGAAGACAAAATGAAAAATGTTATTGCAAAAGTGCCTCTGAAGGGTTAATGTTGTAGCAATTCCAGAAAAACTCAGAAAATTAGCTGAACTATATGTATACCCCTCTGGGGAGCTTGCTTGTGTGAGGACATTTTATTTTGTAATTGGACAAACTATTCTTCCATCAGCTCTAAATGAAAACTTGTATCTGTGTTGAAGAACTTAGTGCTTACCTAAGGGAATTTGTTGTTGCTTGTATCATGAATGGAGCCAAATCTCACCTACAGCTTAAACAGGATAAAACTGGTTCAGCAAGGTCAGGCATGGTATAACTATATGTCAGTATTTTTTGTTGTTGTGAAAATCAGCTTTAAATTTACGACAATGAACAATAATACAGTGTAAGGTCAGTTTGCTAGTTCTGCATGCCTTTTTGCAAATAAAAAGAATGCTACAAGCTCTGAGTTTTTAGACCAACCTGTTTGCATTATTTATGTTTGCATAAAAATTTACATTCTGAACTATCAGTTTCAGTTTCCCAACATTAGTTCAGTGAACACATTCCCTTTTAACCCCGTACCATTCCTATATGAACATTGCAGTCCTTGTACATCCCCTCTGAATTGTATCATGGTGCTAGTGACATGTTTACCATAGATACTCAAATAGCTTCTGCAAAACAAGCTATCTGCATTGTGTTCTCCCCGTTTGCTGCATTTAGCTGAAGATTAAAAGAGCACACATGTAGTTCCTGGTAGCTCTATTGCAACTGAACATTTTTCAAAGCTCCTCGAAAGCCTTGAGCAAACATGTAAAAGTTACTGTGTAGAAGTTAATGGTTCTGATCTAAGGTTCAGTAGTACAAATCTGAAATATCTTTAGTGACCGCAAGTCTGAATATGCATATTTGTCTTCAGAACTTGGTTGTAACTCAATGTGCCAATGCTCCATATATCCAACAGAAAACTTTTACAGCAAGGTGTGTCAGCTGTTTAATGGTGTGCAGGAAAGCACAATTTAGGAGAGTTCTGCGTCAGACTTTTTTCTCAAACCAGTTTTGCAGAAGTGCAAATGCATTGACTTATATAGAATCATAGCTTATAAACTCTAAGAGTGGTTGGAGAATCAGAAAAATTACAGCCAGCCAGAATCAAAGGACTTTTATAGAAGCAAATGCATAATTTTTTAAAATGACATTTTTCAAGCTCAGTAGGGTTAACAGCAATACTGTTGAGAAATTGTCAGTGGCTGTTTCATGATCTCAGTGTTTGGGAGTAGATTTATGCCGCTTTCAAAATGTGACA